GGCATTCTCCCTGCCCATCAGTTTCCTGCGTTTCATAGCTCCGATTTGTTTAAGGTAAACGCGATATCTCAAACTTATCCATCAGAGACAAGCTGTGGGCAATGACATCCCCCAGAAGGAAGAGGAGAACACACTGACATAGTATCCCTTGAAATTCGTTGAAATATATAGTTTATTAAAAAATTAAATAAAAATAACAGAATACATAATAAGTTTCAATATCCGTTAAATTTATATTTTCACATTTAGAATGAAACTGTAATGAAGTGATAACAGATTGTCGGGGATTTCTAACGTTTATGAACGTAATGTTTTTAACTATAAAATCTGCATTGATAATAAACACAACATGACATAGCGTTAACCCGCTGGTAATATCACAGATAGTGTTTTCGTGCATGTTTACTTGACGTTTCCAGCACTTCAACTGAAGAAATACTGGCACAGATAAGTGAAAATATATGAGTAAAATGAATGACAAAATCATCCAACATCTCACAACTGTACAACATTAAATAAACATTTAATCAACACAAGGGTGATAAAGTTAGACGTCTACATATATATCACCAGTGTTTCGACGGTGTTACTACATTAAACTTGAATGTCATCGTATCCCAATTGCGTAGATCGATGCTCATGCAGTTAATCACTGCCTTGTCTGATCCAGCCTGGATAATTTACAGACCGCCCCGCCATATAGCTGCACTATGGCTGAGTGCGACGTTAAACAGCCAACCATTCAAACCGAAACATAAGTCTCATTAACCTATTCAGACAATGACCTACTTTTCAGCCGATCCGAATTTTGAAAAGAGACACCACAAACAACTATGATTACACTGCATTCCAATTCCTTGTTTCATAAGAAAATGGTAGTTACAAGTTAATTTTAAACTTTAATAACATCGTATTTCTATATGTTATGGCGAGGTGTAGGCAGCACGACCTTAACAAAGACGTCACAGACTGACCCTATTTGATGAGGTCGTAAAATGATTCACAACTCATCTGGCTCACTGGTTACACCTGTTATGAATTTTTTGCGCTTATTCAATGTAGTTTTGTAACACACATTGTGATTGATTTAATATCAAGTCCGTACCAGACAGTCAAACTTTTCTAGCGGCAGAGCCTCGTTTTGAGATTTCCACGATTTCCAGATTTCCGTCTGTCAGAGCACGCTGTACGACAGAGCCCGCTGCACGACGTGTTTGTAAGGATTAGAAGGAGCGTAGTGTTGCAATATACAAGTGCTTAGATGTACCAAAAAACACTGATTAATATTTATGTATCCAGTTAAATGAATTGGTCTAAAAATTCTGTACTGATTATTGTACTAAGTTGCGCAATAGGACGAAACCCAGTCAGCAGGAAACGAGACTGTTGTGTAATCAATGTTTTGACTTGACCTTGAAATTTCAGATACATAGATCCTGTTCCACATTTGGACGACAACTGTAGCTAGACAAACCTGTATATGTAGACGATAGTTTATCTACATATCACTTTCCGAATCCAAACCTGGTAACAAATAAAATCTTTCTGAAATTAATGAACAATAAACGTCTACAAATACACGGCAATTTGGAACATTGGCTAGTTGTCCATTTCTGCTTAACCAGGTCTGTCGGTTTGTTCACTTGACCTGAACAGCACATCATGGAATCAACTATGGTTTCTAATTCCTTCATTGGCACAGGATATACACGCCAATACAATTCTATTACCCTACAGGACTGTAGCACTATATTTGAAAGAACCGTCACTCCAAGAATGTGATCTCCCCGCTACCCCACGCCCGAGTTAATTCCATTACCTCTAATGAAGAACTGTCAATTCAAACTGACGATATAATTACATTTCAAACTAAACAAAGGCGGTATGTTGGATTGATGTCTACGCTAAAATGATTGCCTCTGTACAAAATACACCACCAATCAATACAAAACGTACAATAACGCCTAGGTAAGTGCCCTTTTCATGTTAACCTTTTTATCATTTGAGACATGTCCCTCACATCACCTCCTCGTTGACCAACAGAATTGCAGCCAGGTATTCTCCATAGACGAGGTAGGACCAGGGAAAGGCGACATGTCCCTGCTGAGTTAGCAGCAGTAGAAATCGTGCTCAAACCTTGCTGTCTCCCCGTTGTATTGCCAACCCTGGCGTCATCTGAAAACGACCGTGTATCAAGAGTTATGCGATATATTTTACCATAAGGTAAGGTGCAGCCTTACTTTACTTTAAATATTACGCCCATGAAAATGAAACGCTTTGTAAACGTGGATTTCGCCATTGAGCGGCGACCGTCTGTACGGTGCCAAAATAGAAAGAGAACAATCATGTGAAACAGCACGCGTTGTATTCGGTGGTTTTCTGAACAGTTCAGGGAAGAATTTGGTTTAAATACCTTGCAGCTTAGTGATGTGTACTAAGTATCAGTTTGGAGGAATCATTCCTGCTGTGTGACTTTTCCAAATCTATGAGCACACAATAACATTTAGAAAGTGGTCAAATGAAAATTATGTTATATTTGGGATAACACATTCTCAGTAAAGTACTGATTCTAGTACTTTTGATATGTGATAGTACATCCGGGATTCGAACCCACACTCTCAGAGTCAGGCACCTAATCAGGCACCGCACAGTCAACGATCTAACCCACTCAGCCATCGCTGGTTAGATCGCTGACTTTGTATGTCGGCATAACCTACCATGTTACCATAAGGTAAAACAACGTTACCATAACGTAAAACAACGTTTGCCACGATGTAAAACAACATTACCACAATGTAATATGTAACGTTACCGTAACGTAAAATAACGGTACCACGATGTAATACACAATGTTACCATAATGTAAAACAACATTACCGCGCGATGTAATATACATTACCAGGAAGTAAAAACGATGTTACCATAACGTAAAACAACGTTGCCACGATGTAATATACAATGTTACCATAATGTAAAACAGCATTACCACGAAGTAATATGCAACGTTACCATAACGTAAAATAACGGTACCACGATGTAATACACAATGTAACCATAATGTAAAACAACATTACCACGATGTAATATACATTACCAGGAAGTAAAAACGATGTTCCCATAATGTAAAAAAAACTTACCACGATGTAATATACACCTTTACCTCGAAGTAGAAAACAAATTTACTATCAAGTACAAAACAAAATTTACAAACCGATTTACGCTAACCCACAACGTTGTAACAACATTATTTTGAGGCCACAATTTAAACTACCTAACGTTGTGACAACGTGAACTTGTCAGCGCTGTTGTTACCCTTTTAGATAAAAGAATTTACACACAAACTTCTGTATTCCTAATGTTCCAAATGTTGGAGATCACATATTAGTTTTATGTTCTAGTCCTGGAACTAGTAAACGAATAATGCATTAAACCAAGTACTGTCTTTGTCTTCTAAGTATGTCTAGCTCTCTAAGTTACATTTTTCTACATGTAAGGTTTAAGATACGGGACTTATGGGTAATTGTACAGAAAGTGCATGCATTCCTCCTTTATAAACAAAGGCTCATAGCATGTCACATTTGGTGTAGTAGTTCTTGAAATTTAATAACTTTGATTAGTTGTTCTAGCTTTATTTAAACCCTAATGCATGACATTAGAAAACATGTTTACAGCCATTATGAGAGGCAGACAGTGGTTAAATGCTGAGTCATCACACGCACAAAGCGTCCTGATCACGTTTCGGCCTGAGTAGGCTACTGAGCAAAGTTTCAAATTGGGTTTGTAGGGGCGGTGATCGAGTAGCAGTCAGAAACATTTAAAGCTGTAAATCAGCAATCGAATTGAAACCAATGTTCTGAAACAATATAACTTGACGAACGAAGTGTTTGCAGTCGTAATGATGTAAAACGTTTCCGTATAATTCTTATCGCACTTATAGATTTCCTCCGTATACATGGACGGTGTGGCTGCATTTTTGTTTAGAGATGACCCACGTGTTTATTCATTACGATTGCTGTACGTATGACACGCATCATCGTATTTTGTAGAAATGTTCTAGATGTGACTCATAATCCTCACTTGTGGTACTTCTATTTATACCCAACCTACTGTTTTATTAATTCAGGAAACTTGTACTCACCCCTGAAATCCCACTCACCTCAGTTCTGTTACCAGTATAAATCCCTTGGGGCAGATAGGTAGAATTACCTGGTCAATCAATATTCTCTTACTCAACCACGTGATCTATCCACTCCAAGCAGCAGGATGCCGACGACATCGTCGTATACATCTGCAACCTTGCATGTTTACAACAGTGCATGCTTTCACCAAGTCAGTAGCTCTGAATTCATGCCGTTGTTGGAACAGTCAACACCCACCTTCTAATCAAATATCACAATCCCATTTGTTATGCAACTTTAACTAACGGTATCTCGTATTTTTGAGTGGCTAATCGATCACATCAAGTCATTAAACCGCTTCGCAAATGTGATATGCTTGTGATAAATTAATCAGAATGTTTGGGAGCTATAACAAAGTTTCACAGTATTGGAAACATGAAACGGAAGAAAGGTATTTAGATTCATTAGTACATGTAAAGATGGCGTGAACATGCATTGGAAATGTATGTACTTAATTAATTTTTATTTTTTCAGGTTTAGAATTGCCAGCCCGTGACCTGCATCCGTCCCACTCGATTGGACGGTGGTCAATTATACACCGACGTCCATTAGGGACACTCTCACTTCGATCCATCATACACGACGGACATTCATCAACAACCATTCGGTATTTGTCTGGTGTTGGCGAAACGTTATCTGTGAATTGTCTCTGAACGTCCACAGTCACTCTCGTTGGAGATATTATTGTGTTGGGTATCCATATCGACAGCGGCACCTGGCCACGCCATTGAACTCAGTATGCGACTTTGAAGAAATTGATTAGCATTGGCGTGTGCTAAGTGTCTGGACACAAGAGGTGACATCTGTGAATATGCCCAGGTCAGCCTAGTTTAACGTTTAATCATTCAAGCACAAGCTGAAGTCAAGCACTGGAAAGTCAGCGGAACGATTGGATATTGTCGACAGATTTCGGAAAGAAGCATTGGAGGGATTCAGGTGAGACATTGGATGTCGTATATAGGTGAACGATTGGTATACGCTTCTTTCAACGGAGGTCATTCAATATATTACGAAAATAGGAGACAGCAGAAGTGTTGCGCTCAGTGGTTCCAAAGTGTACACCGGGTGATGTTCACATAAAGACAACTGTCAAGACAGAAATTTTGCATGTAGCTTTTTATAATATATTTTTTAATAAGATTCCAGGTGCTTGATCATATTGAGATAAATAGTTACCTGCTGTGACACATGCTTACAGGCACAGTACCTTCAACGTGACCACAGGATTGTCCTACACTGCACAGTCTCTGATGCTCGGGCGCCAAACGTTCTAGGTTTTTAAAAAGGGTAACCTCGCTTCATCTGTATCAACTACATCAATTCGCACGGATATAATTCAAGCGTATAACTAACTCGAAATTAGTTTCTCGGACTGAATCGTTTTGAAGCCTTGATGAAAAGCGGATGATCAAAACGCGGTCTTATTTTCCGATGTCTTCGTAGCAGAAGGTTCAGAACGCAGGGCGTGATACAGAGCTAACTGGCTTGCTGTCAAGTGATGGAACGTTCCAAGGACGTCTAACAGTCTAATGTCATTATCTGTGTCAACATAGCCTGTGATAGAATATCCTTCTCACACATTCAGTTTTGTCAAACTCAACTTTCCCGATAGTCGTGTGAAATTCAGGATTTGCCATGTGGCTGGGGGATTGTTTTGTGAGATGTTGTGGAGCCTTGAATGGCATCCCAGCTCGGATCTTTTGCATTCTGCTTCTACTCGCCCAAGGAGGGATTCTGGATTATTTCTTGGCCAAACATCAGACCCAAGCCAGCTGGGCATGGATAGCATTCGACCTTGTCAACGTCGGCCTCTTCATCGCCTCCTTCGTCATATCACGACGACACCTTGCACTACAGAAAGCTGGGGACGAGCAAAGTAAAGCGGTCACAATTGGTTGGTTGGCATGGCTTGTGTACTCGGTAAGCCTAGTAGCAAGGATGGCCATAGCGTTCAACAAATTCTCCTTTAGGTTAAGCGAAGACACATTCTTTGGCCCCAATACATTAAAGACGTCGCTAGCCTTGGCGTCGTGTGTCTTCATCTTGCTGTTGATGTCCCATCATGACGCTCCTGCCGCTAGCGAACGCAGGCGATACATTGAAGACCTTACTGGAACCGTTGTCTTCGACGTGTTGGACACCGTGGATGTCTTAGAGGTGATGTTCGACAAGACATCAAGGGACATGTTCCTGCCAGGACTTCAGCAAACTGTTTTAGCGGTGGCAGGTCTCAATCTCATTATTCCAACAGTGCCCTTGATCACACTCAGCCTAACCAACTTCGGATACAAGAAGATGCCGAAACGTCTTGTGGCGCTACACAAGTTACTTGTGGTACTGGTGGTGAATGTTCCCAATCTGCTTGTTCGGTTAGTTCTCTGGCATGGCTTCAGTGTAGGAATCTCTCCCTTTATGCTCAAAAACCTCATCCTCATCTGCATCGTCATGTACGAGTTTTACGAACACAAGAAGATGAAATATGACGAACACGCCGAGGAGATTGAAATGAGAAAGAAAGGTTTACGGGGCACTGCTAATCCTGCTGCTGTAAATGGACAAAGTGGCTTAACAGAATTCTCGATGCAAGAACGTATTTAAATCTAATATATCATTTCACATTGCTCATTGAAATCGCCGTGAAGAATCCTATTGAATACCAGTGCCAGATACCAGAATGTCACAATCTGTCAAATATTAGTGATATAATCTGCTTGTCATATGACTTAGTGGCTAATTTTAGCATCGTGTTACTCGACTTGGACTCAGTACGAGGCGATGTTGGCGAATGACATCGGTCCAGGGTATTTCTCGCAATAGTATTCAGATATAACTGACCATGTATATATTTTTGTCATGTATTTGTTTTCGGAGGTAAATCTAAGATAGTTTCGATCTTTGCGCATATCCAGTTATAAGTCTGATTTGATTTTCTGCTTCACAACTATCTGATGCAATCACTGCTGGGTTTTACTTTTATGGCAATTAGATATATCATAAAATCCATTAACCATAAATCCTACAGGTTTTATTTGTTTCATTTATGGTGCAAAGTATGACCACCACATGAGCTTGTTGCCACATGAGGCAACCTATTTCAAGATCTTACGACTAACATACCTGACACGAGCGACTGTCCAGTTCTTCAAGGTGAGATATTTAATTAACGTCGTTTTTCGAGTACGCCATCATACATGGCATGTTATTGTAAAACGAAAATGAAAAAAATAAACGTTATGAAAACGTTACGCCTCTGAGAGAAACAATGTTGTCATCCTATTGTTAAGTTGACGTCATGACGTCATGTTATAACTATGTGACGTAATAAAATGAGTGACGTCATGTTTTATTGGTCTCAACAATGACACAATGTGACGTTGCGTTGCTTCCACACACCAATCAGCATTGGGGATCAGTTATATGGGCAAATATCGGAATGGCATTATACCTCATCTTTCTGCCCTTATGTCCTGTCCAACCCAACGTTCTATGCGATCTACCTGGTACCTCTCCACAGATGGGATGTGAGAGATCTGATTTGCCACATCTTTCACATCCCATTCAACAGATTTTATCATCTATTTCATGTTCAATACATATATATTTATATCATTAAGATATGTCACATACAATGTTTCCTTGAGAAAATATTCCATAACGGGGGAAAAATATTTCCTTTTGTGTATTTGTCCTGTGTTTACATCGGTTATACGGATCCAAGTACAGACATCGAAACCCTGTGGATAGGGTGCGATATGTCGGGGTATTTTGTAAACATAGATAGTACCGTTTTTCCCGATATCAGTCGCAGTAGCATATCTATCGAATTATGCAAGGAGTATGCAAAGCACAGTGTGCCCTGAATTAGGAATACTAGCGTTTGTTTAGAAACATTAGAAAAGTTTAGTTATGTGATATTGCATGTTTCTCATGTTGCATGAATATCGCCCAGAACCAGTGTCCAACCTCCAGACTGACCGTAGCTTATGTCATTAACTCATCGTCTGTAACAACGTAGATCTTCCGTTTAGCTGAGACGTGACCTTAGTGGGTACTGAACTAAGAAGGTTTTTTGATTGTTTTTACAGTATTTCCAGCTGTATCTTGACGGACGATAATTCTGTCATCAGGGCATGGCGTGTATTAAGCCAGTATTATCTTCCATCTAGACCTCCGTGTTACATGTGTGCCAGTTATAACTGCCGTGGTTCACACGAAATGCTGGAAACCAGACCAGATGTTTTTCTTGTGTTTTCTTATCGTTTTGTGGGTTTCGTTTGGTTTACTAAGTCTAGCCCCACAAAAGCAGGCCAGCATGGCGGAAACAATGATCCTATTTATTCTTCATTACATTTACAGATGTGATATATAAAGGATAAATTATTTCATGGAATGAGTGGCAAATATAGTTGTGTACCAATATTTACACTTTCTAAAACGTTTACATAAAACAAATATTATCAACTGTATCGATTTAGGAGCAATGGAAAGCGTTTTCACATTCTGAACTACAATCGCATGAATGGATGTCACATAAACTAACCGAAGCATTATGCATGAAATCGATCTGATTTTATCACTAAAATGGTCTGATCTTCACACGAAAATTATTTGATTTTAGCGAGGTACATCCTGTAGCCTATTACGCAGATTATTTACTTTTTGCGCCACTATTTGTTACACGTCACGTGTTACGAACGTCACAAAATGTTCAAGATACTGCCCTCATGTTTTATGTAACATGCTTATGTTATGTTATATTTAGAATCATGTATCTTACATATATATTTTTACTCACAAGGAAATAGACTTATAGCTTTAACCAATCCTTTTGTATATAGATACAGATGGACTGAGACAATGAATAAATTACAGGTTGTAGTATGATTGTGTTTATTGTCTTTATGTGACTGCATGTGATGTCTCACACTGCACACACTCGTGTGTAACGCCACACTCAGCAATATTCCAGGGATTTCCGGCGGTCTGTAAATAATCGAGTCTGGACCAGACAACCCAGTGATAAACAGCATGAGCATGGATCTATGCAGTCGACATACAATGACATGTGTCAGCCACGGCAGTGAGCCTGACCAATCCCGTTAGTCGCCTGGGTTGCTGGAGACCAATTCTAACCGAGATCTTCACGGGTACACACTTTCGTGTTCTACGTGTTCAAAAAGTGACGGGTAGACAGAATGGAGCAGCGTTACACATCCTCACGGCCAGGTTCCTGCAGTTGGACAGGTCACACAATGTCATCATTGCAACCATCTGTTTTATTTCATCCCCTTTGGGCGGTGGGGTAGCCTTGTGATTCGATCCAGGTACATTGTGTGAGACCTATTTCTGGTGTCCACCGCCGGGATATTGACGGGATATTGCTAAAACGCACTCACTGTTAGTCATCATCAAGGAGAACCCTGGATTCCAACCCATGTTTAACACAGAGTTTCATCCAGCAAACCGAGATGCTATAGACCGCATGACTTCCGATTGTACACTGGGATATACCACTCACGTTTATATCACGATACGTCAATATAACGGTTGCTTGACGTACATAAATTATCACATCAAAACTCCCATTCATAGCTTGTCAAAGGAAGCAGACCATTTGACCAAGCTTGCGTAATTACACCTTGAAAAAGCGTGATATCATTATTATTTAAATGAATAATGATAAACACTTCATGACAAGCAGGCTGTTGTTGACGTGACAGGCGTTATATGTACAGACGGTGTATCCGGAGTGTTTGACTTGATGCCTATAACCAACATACACCTGAGTAAGACAAAACAAAATATGTATCACAACCGTCAAAATGGTGCATCCCGGGTATATTAACAATGTTTTAGTGTTTGAGAATTCATTCAGTTGTGGCTTTGTGATATGGGAAATATGAAGCTAGTCTTAGTTATCGCAAAGGCTTGGTAGATACTGATTCAGAACGGAGTGAGTGAGTGAGTGAAGATTTAAAATCACATCGACAATATTTCAGCCATATTATCGTGACTAAAACTAGTTCTAAATTCATAATACATAGATATAATATGTAAAACCCTGTCAACGAAGGACAGTAAAACCACTAGATTATCACAGATTGAGTTAAAACTAGCTAGCATATATCTTTAAAAGTAGAAAATTATTTTTAGACAATACAATGTAAAAAATGGGCTGTAGATCGCCAACAACTGAAGGTAGATCACCACACTAGGGACCATGGGGACTTACCGTACCTTTGCTACCTGCATGGACCCTAGTTGGATTTACACCATTCCTTCAGCTGCTGGCGATTGTAAGAAATGTTAGCCAAAATTAAGATAACAAGAATACTACGTTTAAAAATCTTGGTAAGTTTAAATTGACTTTGAAGGAGGACAATAATTTTACAATACTTCAAACCCCCTTGAGGGTAGAGCCACTAACAATCTTAGTTAATATTTAAACTTCCAATCAAAAAAATAATTATATATTTACAAATCAGTTAACAAATCTAATTCTTTTAAAATGCAATAATTAAATGAGAACCTATATTATTAAAAAGATACTTCATAGTTCGTGATTTGAAATAGATATCCCTTGTGATGGAATATTCAACACAGTCAAGCAGGACATGATTGACCGTGATTCTTTCATCACAAAGGATACAAAAGGGAGGATCCTCACCTTTCAATAGGTATTCATGAGTATATCTTGTGTGGCCAATACGACATCGTCGTATGATGTTCTCTTCAAATCTGGACTGACAACCCAAGTAGGTGTAACCGACAGTTGGTTTTAGTGCATGTAATTTATTGATACCGACTTGGGTGTCCCACTTCTTTTGTATCAGATCACGGATGTAAGTTCTAATGATAGGTTTGTAACAGAGTATGGAATAAGAAGTGGTGTCACAGATTTGTTGAGTGCTGTCTTGGCAGCAAAATCGGCCATTGTGTTCCCGGAAATGCCAACGTGGCTGGGTAACCAACAGAAGACGATGTCGTATTGGCCAGTAGAAAGATTATTATATAATTCAAGAATTTCGATTAAAAGTGGATGTTTGCAAAGAGGATTTTTGATAGCCTGAAGGCAAGAAAGAGAATCGGAAAAGATTATGTATTGTTGATATTTAGGGGTTTTATTTATATATTTTAAGGCTGTTAATATTGCGTTAGCTTCTGCTGTGAAAATAGAGCTGTTGTCAGGTAATCTAAAAGATATTGTTTTGGATCCAATGACAGTGGCACAAGCTACTGCGCCACCGTCCTTGTCCCATCTGTAAATAAGGATTTGTATGTATTATATTTATTTCTTAACTGACTAAATTCTTGTTTATACTGTAATTCATTAGTTTCTGACTTTTTAAAGGTGGTTAACGTTAGGTCAACGTGTGGCCTAACCAATTGCCAAGGAGGAGAAGAAAGCAAACGGGAAGGAGAGATATTTTCTAGCTCAATGCCAGCAGCAGAAAGGAAAGGTTTGACTTAGTCCAAGAGGCGGAACAAGAGAAGACTTTTTATTGTATAGATCCTCATAAAGAGGATTAAAAACACAGTTAAATGCAGGATTTGACCCACTAGATTATAGTTTTGATTACATACTGCAAGGATAATTTTATACGGCGTTGTGTAAGAGATGGTTCATCGGCCTCGACGTAGAGACTATCAACAGGAGAGGTTCTAAAGGGCCCAGGACAAAGTCTTAGACCTTGGTAGTGGACAGAATCTAATAGTTTTAGGTGGCTTTTGCAGGCTCCACCATAAACGATGGAACCATAATCAAGTTTGGAACGGACCAGTGATCGATATAGATGTAGGAGGGTAGCTTGATCCCCTCCCCACTTAGAATTGGAAACGACTTTCAACAAGTCAAGTGCCTTCAGGCATTTAGTTTTAAGGGATTTGTATGTGGTAGAAACGTTAAGTGTGAGTCAAAAATAATACCCAAGAACTTGGCCTCCTTCACAACTTTGATGGGTGTGTCATTTAGAGATACTTCAGGGTCTTTATGCGGTTTGTATTTACGGCAGAAATGTATACAATTAGTTTTGGATTTAGAAACATTTTAAGAACGGAAGGAGGTTGACATTTTTTCATGTCGAAATACACTCTTGACGAAATCTACTTATCATTTTCCACATTAATGTTTCAATTTTTAAGAAAGAAAGGCATCAAAATCAACATAAGAAACTTCCCGACATCTTAGGTATATATCTTTGATTGCTGTGTGAACCAAAACATACAACCTGTTAACTCCTTTTGACAAATTCATTCGCTGAGAGGGAACGATTCCTGGGACTAATTATAAACAATATTTGAAAAAGGTTTTTGCAGAATAACTGAAACTTTATTAACAGTAACAACAACAACAACAACAACAACAACAATAACAACAAGTATTCTGTCTGATTTCATTTTATCTTCGGTATAATTTCGTCCTGAAAAACATCGCACTTGCGGTTATCTAACTTGCATACTTATGTCATGGAGGTATGACAAACATGTTTTTATGCTACAACCTGAAGTGACGTATAAATGATGATAACCACAAAAGCTGTCCTCAGTAAAGCTGAAGCCACCTCGCAGCTACCACGACTATAAAATTGAAACTGCATATCCCATATAATCACGCCCTGGTGGGTAAAGTGAGTGAGTATGATTTTAAGCCGCTTTTAGCAGTATTTCAACAACATCATGGCGTGGAAAATATTTCGTGAATATTGCTAAAATCTGCGTAAAGCTAAACTTACTCCCACCGGCGCTGTACAAATGGTTCTTCATTCATTTGGTTCTCTTTGAAGGTAAACGAAAATAACCCGTATTATTGAATATGTTGGGGATATTCAGTTTCATAATGATATAAATTGGGAACCAAGTTGTATGATTGCATTAGGATTTCCAAAATGATTATTCATTCAGAAAGTGTGATGAATTTCGTGCAAACACGTCAGTTTCGTGCAGACGTATGTTATGATGTTCAGGTGAACATGGACGGGATGAAATTCTACATTTACAGTCAGTGTGTCCGTATGTTTCAGTACATGTCAGTGATAAAAACCAGGCTGGAATTTATTCTGATATTGTTTTAAACTCAGTTACACGTGCGTTTTTGTTTTAACACGCGGCGTCTGTCACGTCAGGAACGTCTTCGTGGATATGGCATGATGTGTCAGTGAGTGAGTTTAGTTTTACGCCACGCAATATTCCAGCTATGTGGCGGTGATCAACAGCATGAGCATCGACCTGCGCAATTGGGAACCGATGACATGTGTCAACCAAGTCAGGGAGCCTGACTACCCGATCCCGTTAGTCGCCTCTTACGTCAAGCATGGGTTACTGAAGATCAATATTCTAACCCGGACCTTCACGGGTAGATGGAAGTTGCAACAAGACACTTCATTGTGTCGGAGCTCTTATCTCCTTCCGCAGTCAGTAATATTTGCAATAGTTGCCACACCTTTCGATTGAATATCCCTTATTTGTGACATAGTATATGTTGTTAAACTCAAAGGCCGTATTTTACATGCAGTATATGGGCCTCTAGTTAACTCTCGTTAATTTCGCCTGTAAAGTGCATATTAAATTGACAGTTGACATTCCTTCCAGCGGTCGGTCACCATTTCGATAAGCTGATAATGTCACTTTGTTACCAACCGTTATGTTTGGTCCCATGGGGAACTTCTCGTTATCTTTAATTCTCTGGCGTTTTAATGGCGTCGCTTTGAAAATGATAAATGTGATATCTCAACCTGCTCCAATCTGCCACACAACGGACGCTCAGCACATCATTCTCCATGCGCTTCAGTTTCCTGCGTTTTCATAGATCCGCTTTGTTTAATGTAAACGTGGTATCGCAGACCTATCCATTAGAGAGTAGGCAATGACATCACTTCCGCCCTGACAAGACAGAGGAGAACACTGCATTTCGTCGAACTACACTCTTAAAAGAACAGAAATGCATAGGCGCTTTCATGTCGGTATATTTTGACAGCAAACGTCATTAGGACAATTCCTATGTTTGAATCCCGTTAATCATGTTGTGGTTGTTGTGTATTCCGAGCAAACGAATCCCAAACTGTGTTTGTAAATGTTTGTTATAAAAATTGAAAACGATGCATGAGAAGTGCAGGGAGAGAAAGTTTTCCACATAATGCACGTGAATAGAGACATTGACTATAAAAGGTCAAACCAAATTTATCATTTCATTACGAAATTTACGACGTAGACAAAGATGATAAATGCCAAGATCGAATGGTACTGATCGAAATATCGCCATTGGACGTTTGGAAGCAGCACCATATCTCGATTATGGCATCGATAAACCTGCTTCAATTCAACCCAAGATCGTCCCAAAAGTGGAAAACCAAGAGTGACCATTCCTGCTCAGGACCGATTCATCCGGGTGTTTCACCTACGTCACTGATATTCTACAGCAACGGACACTGCAGGACAGGTGCCTTGTATTTGAAACCATCAGACGGTTCAGAAATCGTCTGAGAGAAGTGGGAATTCGAGCATATGGACCAAAAGTTGGACCTATCCTGACACGACTGCACCGACAACGACATGTCCAATGGTACAGCAGGGTACCTGAGGAAGCGGGTAATGTGTTCGGTCAAGCGATGAATCGCGTTTCCTCCTACAACGGCGGGATGGGAGACAACGTGTCTATCGACATCGACACGAACGTTTTGCGCCGAACTGCGTTCGACATGTGGACTGATTTGAAAGCGTCATATAGTGGAGAGCCATGCCCTACACAGGTAGATCAGAATTAGTGGTGGTTCAAGGCAATCTTACAGCAAATCGCTACATTGACTAAATCCTGCGACATCACCTCCTCCCACTTTTTAACCACTGGAGGGAGCTGTTTCAACACGACAACGGTTGGACGAATTGATCGATGCGTTCGTAAACGTCACCATCGTTCTCAGACACTTGCAGAACTTGCCCAGGCGTTGCTGGAGGAATGGAGAAGAATTCCCTAGCAAAGTCCGAGGACTTGTGGAATCCCTTCCATGGCTGCGTCGAGGAGTGACGGCTGCAAGGGGTGGTGTCATCAGGTACTGACCTGAACACCCCCGTGTGTCCACACGTACAGTGAGTGACCTGAACGCCCCCGTGTGTCCACACGTGCAGTGAGTGACCTGAACACCCCCGCGTGTCCACACGTGCAGTGAGTGACCTGAACACCCCCGTGTGTCCACACGTGCAGTGAGTGACCTGAACACCCCCGTGTGTCCACACGTGCAGTGAGTGACCTGAACACCCCCGTGTGTCCACACGTGCAGTGAGTGACCTGAACACCCCCGTGTGTCCACACGTGCAGTGAGTGACCTGAATTAATGTTGACAATGACAACAATCAATATGTTCATCTGTGTGTCGAATTTCCTTCATCTATGTTCAAGCTTAATCAACTTATGTCCACTGAAGTACGTTTAATAGATTTCCTTATTTTTGGCCTAGATGCGTTTCCTTGTTTGAAGAGTGTACATAGTTCAATAAAAAAAAAAAAATAGAATACAAAATAGCACAAAAATTAAAAACCTCAATATCCGTTAAATCTATATTGTTACATTTAGAATAAAACAGTAATGAAACACTAGCATGCTATCGCGAGATTCCTAAAGTTTAAGAACGTATTTTTTAAATGAAATATAAAATCCGCACTGATACTAAACATAACATGACATAACGTTAACCCACTGTTAATATCACAGATAGTGTTTGCTTGTTCCACATTAGGAGGACAACGGTTGCTTGACAAACCTGTGTATGTAGACGATAGCTTCATGTCTACATATCACTTTCTGAATCCAAATTGGGTAACAAATAATATCTCTCTGAAGTTGATGAACAATTTACTTCTAAAAATATATCTTAACAGCCACGGACGATATTAACTATGGTTTCTGAATGTGTTCCGTTATTGGCAGAGGCTTAAAGTGTGAATACAATTTTATTATCCCACAGAACTGTAGCACTTTATTTGAAAGGTCCCCCGCTACTCCACGCCCGAGTCACTTCCATTAAATCTGATGAAGAACTGTCAATTCAAACTGACGATATCATTAAACTGACGATATCATTACATTTCAAACAAAACAAAGGCGGTATGTTGGATTGATAAAAAATGTTGGTTACGCTAAAGTGATTGCCTGTCTGAAATACACCATCAATCAATACAAAACGTACAATAACGCCTAAGTAAGTGTTCTTTTCATTTTAACTTGAATCATTTGAGACATTTCCCTCACATCACCTCCTCGTTGACCAACAGAATTGCAGCCATGTATCACATTACATTCTCCATAGACAAGGTAGGACCAGGGAATGGCGACATGTCCCTGCTGTAAGCAGCCAGAGCTGACAGAGTTAACAGCAGTAGAAATCGTGCTCAAACCTTGCTGTCTCCCCGTTGTATTGCCAACCCTGGTGTCATCTGACAACGACCGTGTAACAAGGGCTATGCGATATATTTTACCATAAAGGTAAGGTGCAGCCTTACCTTACTTACTGTGTGATTAATGTTCATTAAATATTACGCACTTGAACGTGAAACGCTTAGTAAACGTTGTTCTTGATATTGAGTGGCGACCGTCATGTGAATGAGTGAGTGAGTGAGTTTAGTTTCACGCCGCACTCAGCAATATTCCAGCTATATGGCGGCGGTCTGTAAATAATCGAGTCTGGACCAGACAATCCAGTGATCAACAGCATTGAGCATCGATCTGCGCGATTCGGAACCGATGGCATGTGTCAACCAAGTCAGCGAGCCTGACCACCCGATCCCGTTAGTCGCCTCTTACGACAAGCAATTGCAAGATCAATATTCTAACCCGGACCTTCACGGGTGACATCAGGAGAGAGACATCAAGACTGTTGATACGGAGTTGTGAGACAACGAGTCCAGAAAGTTTGACAATGCGTTTTTGAGTGAGAGAACAACAATGACATATATGTACTTTAGGCTCCCAGATGAAGTTATTTCCGTCATTTAACATTCCCCATGCAAATCTTGCCAACTTGACCCTATTCCTACATCTTTTGTCAAAACATTATATAACATGTACTATCGTACTTCCCGATATTTGTTCAACTCCCTGGAGAGCATAAAGCTCTGCCTGTCAGGCGCAATGAACTAAATACTCACATTGCCAGCACATCCTCAAGGGTACGCATTTTACAGCTGGGTGAACTGAGACATTGTGGATCTAAGTATCTTGTCCAAGGATACTACGCAAATGGGAGCCGAACCTACGTGCTTCCACCGGGAATCGAACCCGGGCCTTCAGCGTGATAAGCAGACGCTTTACCACGGCACTATTGCGCTCCACAACCCTTAAGACATTAACTGAATCATAGAGACTCCCAGACAGCCCATTAATTTTCACGGCAGAATTAATGGCATATTAATAGCACTTTTAATGACCCCTTGTCAAACAACACTAAAATATGAAATACACAATGCCATTTTAGAAAGTGGTCAAATGTAACATATGTTATATTTGGGATTACACTTTCTTAGTAAAGTACAGATTCTTGTGGAAGCCGCGGTGGCTGAGCGGTCTAGGCGTCTGACTTTGTGTGCTGGCGATTAGGTGCCTGACTCTGAGGGTGTGGGTTCGAATCCCGGATGGGACTCAACCCAAAAAGTACTAGAATCTGTAGATAACTAAGAAAGTGTAATCCCAAATATAACACATGTAACACTAAAATACACAAGATACCTAAACAATAAACTAAAGGCCACTCAGGATCTACACATCTTAGTCTCACAGGTTGAGTTCATCTGGATCCCTGCCCATATCGGTGTGTTTGGCAACGAACACGTCAACCAAACAGCCAACATACCCTTATCTAAAATCAAAACAAAAACCCTGTCAAAACACAAAATCTTGCTAAAGTGGCAAATTAAATACCAAAATTCAAATTCTAAACTAAACCATTTACTCTCCCCCCCAAAAAACAGTGAAAAAAACCAACGAAAACAATTACCATCAATAACAAAATATTCACAGGGCGATAACCAAATTACAAACAGGTCACACAACATTAAATTCCAATCAACATAAAATGGAATAAAAGACCACACCAAACAGACAAATGCATACACTGCAACGAAACAGAAACTGCCCGAACACGCCCCACCACTCTACCAAATACACAAAATGGTGCTCCAGAGTTAACTGGGCATAAACTGAACACACCTAACACCACAAACAATCCTAACCCACTAAATAACACCCAAACCTTTAAAGCCTTTGGTATATTAACTATCAAAACTGGCCTTTTAGGTCGCTTATAATCCCACATAACCAACCAGTGCTAACATTAAAAAACATACAAAAGCAAAACAAAAACAGACAGAACAAATACCAACCAAACTATCCCACAGCAACCTGTTATCGCATTGCATACCAGAGAGGGGAAATCTCCGTGCTGTAACAGCCACAACTGGAAGGGTTAACAGGTAGAAGGTAGACATCGTGCTCAAACCTTGCTGTCTCCCCGTTGTATTGCCAACCCTGGTGTCATCTGAAAAAGACCGTGTATCAAGGGTTATGCGATATCTTTTACCATAAAGGTAAGGTGCAGCCTTACTTTACTTACTGTGTGATTAATGGTCATTGATTATTACGCACATGAACGTGCAGTGAAACGCTTACTAATCGTGGATCTCGACATTGGGTTGCGACCGTCAGTATGAAAAAGAACGATCATTTGAAACGACACGCGCTGTCCTTCGGTGGTCTTCTGAACAGCTTATGGAAGAGTTTGGTTTCTAACCTTACAGTTGTTTGATATGCAATTCGGTGGTCTTCTGAACAGTTAATGGAACAATTTGGTTTCTAACCTTGCAGTTATGTGATATGTGATTCTTATCAGCTTGGGGGACGCAGTTCTGCTGTGTGACTTATCCAATGTTATAAATACACAATGCCATTTAGAAAGTGGTCAAATTGTGACAGTTGATATATAGTTGCCACACATTTCACTTTCATTCTAAAGCGTTACTAGTGTTGAAATATCACTTTAGTTATCGTTCGTGTCCTGGGTCAAGAGAATTAACATCAACCATAAACAGTTGAAAATAGACATATATATGTATATAAAAGCTGTATTAGAAATGAATCTTTGTCTTTTTAAACCCGCCTCCGTGGTGTAGTGGTTAGAGCGTCCGCCCGGAGTGCGGAAGGTCGCGGGTTCGATCCCCTACTGCGTCATACCAAAAGACGTTAAAATATGGTATTTGTTGGTCCCTGCCTGGCGCTCGGCATTAATGGGTACAACAAGGACTGGTCGGCTCGGAGTCAGTATAATGTGTCTGAGTGGGGTATTCATGCTTCACTGCGGCATGGTATCACAGTGAGCTAGCACTATAAAACCAGCTTAAGTTTGGGCTAGTACAAGCAGCCGCACATACACATACACACGCATGCACGTCGTCATATGAGCGAAATATTCTCAAGCACGACGTTAAACCCAATTCCACCAAAACCAGCACATTGAAACATATCTTCAAAGTTGAATGTTGGGTTGTCAAATGAAAAAGCAACCAAGTGAACGTATGAGCAAAAGGCCACCACTACAAACGGCATGGACTGACGTGTCATGACTCTTCAGCATGTTCAAAGTAGGATTTTGGTGTAGTAAGTTACAAATGTACCTAATCATGACTGGGAAAAGACATACATATTTATATATTGTGACAAATGTAACATGTGTTGTATTTTCCATTACATTTTCTCAGTAAAGAACAGATTCTAGTACTTTTGTTAGGTTGAGCCCCATCCGGGATTCGAACCCTCACGCTCAGAATACGGCCAGTCAACACACAAATCAGCGATCTAACCCACTCAGCCACCGTGGGTTAGATCTCTGACTTGGACTTTTAAATCACGACTGAGATCGTGTTGGGTTTATGGGAGGCTCATTCATATTCTCTGTGACACTTACGTTTTGGTAAATGTGTTTTGCACATTCCCGTTATTTTAGTAGTTGTTAATATGAATTTTAATGGAACTCTTAAATTCACAAAATGTATTAGAAAATATGTCACAGTGATGAGAGAGATTCCCAAGGCATAAATGGTCTACCGTGCTTATTTTACGGGGTTCCGTTTGATATATTTCGGTGAAACAGGAGAAGACAGCATACGAGGCAAAATAGTGGAACATATAATACTTGAATTATGGAATCGAAGGACGGTAAAACAACAAGTATACCACAGATATAATTTTAAAACTAGTAATTCAATATAAAATATTCGAACTATACAAGGCGATACAATATAAATACAGGCTATAAATCGCCAACAACTGAAGGTAGACCACCATACAGCCATTATGAGAGGCAGACAGTGTTCAATTGTTGATTCACAACAAGTGCAAAGGGTTCTGACCACGTTTAGTGAATGAAAAGGTGACGTGAACATACATTGGGAATGTTTTTACTTGAAAATGAATATACCGGATCTATTTTCCCATTTCATTTTATTTTCCAGGTTTACAATTACCAGCTTGTGTCCATCCAGCCAGATTGGACTACAGGAATGTTACAGAATACACAGTCTCTGATGGTAGACCGCCAAAAGTTCTAGGTTTTTAAAAAGGTAACCACACTTCAAGAGGCTACAACAACTAGAAGAATCCACACGGATATAACTGAAGCGTGTAACCAAGTAGAACTTAGTTCCTCGGACTCTACAGTCAAGTGGTTCTGAAGTCTTGATGAAAACTGCATAATCAAAACACGGTCATACGTTCCGATGTCTGCGTAGAAGAAGGTTCAGAATGCAACATGAAAAGCACTGCCTGCAAGTGATGGAACGTTCCAGGGACATGCAACAGGATTTATGTCATTATCTATGTTAACATAGCCTGTGATTGAATTTCTTCTCACATATTCAGTTTGTCAAACTCAACTTTCCCGATATTCGTGTGAAATTCAGGATTTGCCATGTGGCTGGGGGGATTGTTTTGTGAGATGTTGTGGAGCCTTGAATGGCATCCCAGCTCGGATCTTTTGCATTCTGCTTCTACTCGCCCAAGGAGGGATTCTGGATTATTTCCTGGCCAAACATCAGACCCAAGCCAGCTGGGCATGGATTGCGTTCGACCTTGTCAACGTCGGTCTCTTCATCGCCTCCTTCGTCATATCACGACGACACCTTGCACTGCAGAAAGTCAAAGACGAGCAAAATACAGCGGTCACACTGGGTTGGTTGGCATGGCTTGTGTACTCGGTAAGCCTAGTAGCAAGGATGGCCATAGCTTTCAACAAATTCTCGTTTAAGTTAAGCGAGGACTCATTCTTCGGTCCCAATACATTAAAGACGTCGCTAGCCTTGGCGTCGTGTGTATTCGTCTTGCTGTTGACGTCTCACCATGACGCTGCTCCTGCTAGTGAACGCAGGCGATACATTGAAGACCTTACTGGAACCGTTGTCTTCGACGTGTTGGACACCGTGGATGTCTTAGAGGTGATGTTCGACAAGTCATCAAGGGACATGCTCCTCCCAGGACTTCAGCAAAGTATTTTACTGGTGGCAGGTCTCAATCTCATTATTCCAACAGTGCCCCTTATCACACTCAACCTAACCAACTTTGGATACAAGAAGATGCCGAAACGTCTTGTGGCGCTACACAAGTTACTTGTGGTGCTGGTGGTGAATGTTCCCAATCTGATTGTTCGGTTAGTTCTCTGGCATGGCTTCAGTGTGGGAATCTCTCCCTTTATGCTCAAAAACCTCATCCTCATATCCATCGTCCTGTACGAGTTTTACGAGCACAAGAGGGTGAAATATGACGAACACGCTGGAGCGATTGAAGTAAGAAAGAAAGGTTCACGGGGCACTGCCAGTCCTGCTGCTGTAAATGGACAAAGTGGCTTAACAACCTTCTCGATGCAAGAACGTATTTAAATCTAATATGGCATAAAACATTACTATTTGAAATCGCAGTGAAGCATCCGATTTCACACCAGTGCCGCAATGGCTGTCCTGTTGCTTTGCCTTTACGTTAAAGTGAGTGAGTGAGTGAGTTACTATTTAACGTCACATCGGCAATATCTCAGCCATATCGTGACGAAACAATCCATACAAGCTTTACGTTAAAGGATTATTGAACATTGAAAGAAGTTGGAAGGTGAGTGTAAATAGGCTCTCAGAAAATGTTTGCTAGTATATATCTACAGGAAGGTTTATATTATCACGGACATACAGACTTTATGTACGAGCTCACTTAGGTACTTGCTTTCACTGGTTTTCGAGTTCTGTTTCCATGGCTCTCTTTATTGTCCCATTTTCAGCCTGTCACTGTCAGGCGGGCCAAATTTTGAAAAACGTGTTCCAGAGTCTTTGAGAGATAACACTATGTGAATGTAATCCTCGATTATACCGTGTGATATGTCTCCAAAAGTGCTTATACATGTGTTTAGGTGGACTGGATTCTGTACTTTGGCCATTCGAGTTCATTAATCCTTTAGTTTTGTTAAAATTATTTTTCTGAATGCGTTAGAGAAAACTTTATTCCTTGTAGCCCACCACCCCGACTGTATGAAGGTATGACATGCTTGAAAAAATGTCGAATTGAAATATTTGTCCTGCATATTGAAACAAGAGGGAATACATGTATGCCGAATGGCACAAGACGCTCGCAGTCAATTCATGAACAACTATGTTACTCCGGGTCAAGCCGAATGTAGGTTACGGAACGGGTCGAGTAGTGGCGAATGTCACAGTCTGTCAAGTAGTAGTGATATAATCTGCTTGTCATATGACTTAGTGGCTAATTTTAGCATTGGGTTACTCGAGTCGGACTCACTACGGGGCGATGTTGGCGAATGACTTGAGTCCAGGGTATTTCTCGCAATAGTATTCAGATATAACTGACCATGTATATATGTTCGTCATGTATTTGTTTTCGGAGGTAAATCTATGATAGTTTCGATCTTTGCGCATATCCAGTGATAAGTCTGATTTGAACTATCTGTTGCAATCACTGCATATGTATAGGCCTTTACTTTCATGACAATTAGAAATATCATAAAATTCATAAACCATAAATCCTACATGACCACCACGTGACCTTGTTGCAATATGTAACAACAAATCATGTGTAATCATAACCAATAGTAAATATGTTACGACCAACATGCGAGACATAACAACATATGATATGGATGTACAACTTCTTCATAATATTTACAACACGACGTTCCTTCAGCAGGTGATGAATATGTGCTTTTTCCGCCACCTTTTATTGGCCCAGTCGTCACGTGTTACGAACGTCACAAAATGTTCTAGATACTGTCCTTATGTTTTATGTAACATGCGTATGTTATGTTATGTCATATTTAGGATCATGTATCTGACATACATATTTTTACTCACAATGAAATTGATTTAGCTTTGCCCAATGTATGTGTTCGTAAAGAGAGAGAGACTTTTACATGGCGGTGTTATGAATAATATACAGTTTGTAGTATGGATCGTGTTTATTGTCGCATTCAGCGCACACACACACACGCACACAGACAGAGACACACAGAGAGAAAGACAGACACATAGACAGACAGACACACAGAGAGACAGACACAGACACAACAACAACAACAACACACACACACGTGCATTCAAACATGGACAGACACATTTTTGTTATGTGTGTGTTCTTTAACGCCGCACTCAACCATATTTAGCCTTCCCTAATCTAATTGTATGTAGAAAGAGATGGACTGAGGATCTGAATAAAATACAGGTTGTGGTGTGGACTGTGTTTATTGTCTTTATGCGACTGCTTGTGACGTCTCAGTCAGCACGCACGCACACACACACACACACACACACACAGGGACTGACATACCTACATTTAAACAGAGACAGGCACTCAGCAATATTCTAGCTTTTTCCGGTGGTCTGTAAATAATCGAGTTTGAACCACACAAGCCAGTGATCAACATCATGAGCATCGATCTAGGCACTTGAGATACGATGACATGTGTCAGCAGAGGCAGTTGGTCTAACCATTTCTAACCTGTTGGTCGCCTGGGTTGATGAAGATCAATTCTAACCCAGATCTTTCGTGTTTCGGGTACACACTTTCGTGTTCTTCGTGTTCAACAAGTGAAGGGTAGACAGAATGGAACAGCGTTACACATCCTCACGGCAAGGTTCACGCAGACAGGTCACACAATGTCATCATTGCAACCACCCTTTCTATTATCATCTTGGGGCGGTGGGGTAGACTTGTGGTTCGATCCAGGTACAATGTGTGAAAGCTATTTTTGTTGTCCACCGCCATGATATTGCTGGAATATTGCTACAAGCGTTCTCACTCACCTGTTCTCAGGGAGAATCGTGGATTCGAACCCACGTTTCATTCAGCAATGTACAGATCATAGATCGTTAATATATGGTCAATATAACGGTTGCTTAACGTGCATAAATTATCCCATGAAAAATCCCATTTATCCAAGCTTACATGATTATACCTTGAAAAGGGGTAATATCATTTCCATTAAAATCAATACTGATAAACAACTAATAACAAGCAGGCTGTTATTGACGTCACATGCGTTATCTGTACAGACGGAGTATCCTAAGCATTTGCCGACAAACAACATACACCTGGGTATAAGACAAAACATAATATGTATCACAATCATTAAGATGGTGCACGCTGGGATTATAAACAATGCATCAGAAAAAAGAGTTTTGATTACGATCGGTTTTTTATATGGGAAATGTGAAGTGAATTCACAGCAAAGGCTAGGCAAATACCGATTCAGAACTGGATGAGAGTGATATTTTCATTATTTGAATGCACCCTTGATGAAATCCACTTAGCATTCAATGTTATGTTTCAGATTTCCCGAAACCTTAGGTACATATCGTATGATTGCTGTGTGAACCAAAACATACAACCTGTTGACTACTTTCTGACATATTCATTCGCTGAGAGGGAACGGTTCCTCTGACTATTTATAAACAATACTTGGAAAGGTTTTGGCAGAATAACTGAAACTTTAATAACGGTAACAACAACAAGAAGTATTCTGTCTCATTTCATTTTATCTCCGGTATGATTTCGTTGATATTTACCTTTCGAATCAAACCGTGCTCTCACTTGAAACAAAAATCCCCCTTCAGGTTATTAAATTTGCATACTTATGTCATTGGGGTATGTCCCGTGTGTTTTTATGTTAGAACTTGAAGTCACGTATAAATGCCTAAACAGAATGATAAACCATAATAGCAGTCCTCAATAAAGCTGAAGTCACCGATGTCTGGCAGCTTCCACGACTCTGACATTGAAACGTCAAGTTGTGGATAAAGTGGGTGAATCTGATTTTAAGCCGTTTTAGCAGTATTTCAACAACATCGTGGAGAACCGGAAAACGTGCCCAGGACACCGTTGGAAATGTCCATGTGAAGAAAACCAAAACTGTCTTCCTGAAGATGCCGAAACGTCTGCACAAACTGTGGAGTGACATTGCCAATGGAAGGAAGTACATCCCCGAATTTTTACACGATGTTGCAGTGATCATCCAACTTCATAAATAACAGTCGGCCTAGACTATCTCATCTCATCATGTGGTGCATTATGTACGTTTTAATGTTTACTGTACTCATTTCGTATGATTTTTATGTCAACTTTTTATATCAACATTTTTTTTTATTCAAGGAATTTATTCAGTACTTTGGACACAGGGCCTATTGTACAACTACACGTCATCATACCATTTGGTCACGTGTGGGACCTGGTATTAAATACATTTTTCAGATATAATGCAACAGATTAAGTAACGTTCTTATTTGTACTATTTAACAAATCTATCATACTTTGAGTAGCAATAATAGAATTGTTTGTCAAAAATCTACTCCTTAGAGATGAATACCTACTACAAACAAATAATACATGAAACACATCCTCCATACCACAATAACAATGAGGACAAATTGTATCTAAGTGATTAACAACATTCTCACACCTTTCCTGTTATAAAATAGTGAGTGATATTCTCATTTTACAGAAACCTCTTCTCAGTTCTCCATCCTTAAGCGATGTTATATATATTTCCCGTTGTAGAAGGGATGACTTCACGTGTTTATAGTGCTCAAGAAAAGATGAATTATTGATTGAGTAATGCCACTCTTGTAAATATATACCAATTAGGCGCTGCTTGAAAATGTAAAGAAACTGTTTCGGATCACCAACATCTTGAGCCAGTCATACATAGGAATATCCAGTTACAAACAAGAAGCTTCGTACATAAGACGCCCAGGTGAGTCTTCCATCCTCGTCAAGTTGTTTCAACATTAAATAACCATTGTGTGGATATCTAGATCTCTGTGTGTCTTGTCTCAGAAGACGAAGCCAATACTTAATTCATTCTTTTAAACAATTCCACCTTTCCTAAATACGAAAATGTCAGTTTTGTCCATGTTAATCACCTGTCCCCATTCAGCACAATTCTCTGTTATACAGTTAAGCTGTCTCTGTAGTCCCACAGTATACGAGAATGTAACAATGTCGTCAGCAAACAATAGTAGCATAATATCTTCTATAAACGAGGGAAGAAACATTCCATGTCCTCATGTAGAATACATATCACGCACAAGTTAGTTGATAAGAAATATGAACAAGAATGGACTTAATTTATACCAGCCACATAAAGAAACTGTGCATTGTCAAAATATTATCTCAGTTGATAAGTACGATAACAATGTCAAAGGTACATATAAACTTTAATGGAGGGATCATGACACCATAACAAGTCGGGAGAATTTCAATTAAAAAGTAAATCACAATGATGCCACGAGTCCACAAGCGGGACAGGGGTCAAACGACCATGTCACAAGCTCAATAACGGGTATGTCCACCAACGGCATTGAGAACAGCAGTGCATCGACGACGCATAGAGCCTATCAAACGTGCAAGTAAGGCTTGTGGGATTTCAATGTCAAAATAATCAACGATCTTTTTTGTAATGTTAATTAT